ATGGGCCAGTGAAGCGACATCCTCAACTAGACTGAAGAACAAAAGGACAACTTGTCTGTTCCCGTTCCCTGATTCCCCAACGCTGTTCCCCTCTCCCAACTATCCAAAAAAAACTTAAAAAAAAAACAAACAAACAAAAACCACCTCAGATAAAAAGAATTCTGAAAGTGTTCATCAGGAAGGATTTTAGAACCTTGAAGCCCTCATTACCTTTCTCACATCATGCTTTTATTTAAGGGTTTTTGTGTGTGTTTTTTTCCTTATTAGGTTCACATCAAAATGAGAGGAAGGCACAGAGATTTCCTATACAATCTTTGCCCTCTTCCACTAACAACATACCCCAGCAGAGTGGTACATTTGTTACAATTGATGAACCTACGCTGATACATCATAATCACCCAAAGTCCATAGTTTACATTAGGGTTCACTCTTGGTGTTATACACATATACTTATATTCTATGGGTTGCAACAATGTTTAATGACATGTATTTATCATTATACTATCATAGAGTATTTTCACAGTCCTAAAAAATCCTGTGCTTCACCTATTTATGCCTTCCTCACCCCTAATCCCTGGCAACTACTGATCTTTTTACTGTCTCCATAGTTTTTCCTTTTCCAGGATGTCATATAATTGGTATCATATAGTATGTAGCCTTTTTAGATTGGCTTCTTTCATGTAGTGATATGCATTTCAGTTTCTTCCATGCTCTTTCATGGCTTGATAGCTCATTTCTACCGCATGCTTTAAAAAAAAAAACAAAAAAACCCCCCAAAAACCATTTTAACCTACTCGAAGTGCAAACAACATCTCATTCTCTTAGTATCTGGATTGTTTACAGTCTAATTGCAATTTAAGAACAAAGTTTCCTAAATATTTATCTTAGCTTAGTATTCTGTTGAGTGTTCAAAGTAAGTTGACAAGAAATGCTGTGAATCCATAGCTACTACCCAATAAGAGAAGAAAGAAGGAAAGCAGGAAGAAAGAGATTCAGGCAGGGAGAAAGCTAAGAGGGCATTTTCTCAGTTTTTCTTTCTTCTTGTTATCTACAACACAAAATTGGAGAATCAAGTTCTCTTAAAGAAGTGAAATATCAAAACATAGGGAAATGAAGACTACTTTTATTCTTCCTTACCTCGATGCCTGTCCTCCTTCGGTCTATTCTCCACAAAACAGAAAGAATCTTAAAACATTGATCAAATTGTCTCACTCCTTCCCCTACATGAACCTATCTGACATTTTCTCAGAGCACTGAGAATGAAAATCCAAATGTCTTTTCGTTCCCCAAAGGCCCATAGCCTGGTCTCTGTAAGACCACCAAGAGCTGATTTGGGCCCGGGTTAAAAACAAAAAATTCTGGGTGACTTGTTTGATAACCATCATAATACAGCCCAGTCTGCTTTCTGGATGACCAGACCCCACTAATCTGTGTAGACTTTGTCCCCTTTTTCTCAGCGTCTGGCTACCGCCTGTCTCTCCCATGACTCTCATTACTTTCCTCTAGCCATTCAAATCTGTTTTCTCTTCCTCACATATCTAAGTCTTTTTTCTGAGTTGGGGGTGTTACACATGCTACCTCCCAGATCTGGAATGTTCTCCCACCTTTCAAATGGCTAACCCTTTGGGTTTCATCTCTAAACTAGTCTATTTCCAAACTAGCTCCCTTCCTGCCCACCCCTGCTCCCCATTTTCTCTTTCCCAATCCTTTGTTTCCTTTATATTACTTATCAAAATTCAAGGGATTTTCTTTGCCTATTTACTTTTTTTACATCTGTCTCCTGACAACAGGGATAGTATCTAGTCAGCTAGCACATTACCTGGCACGTCATAGGCTCTCAGTAAGTTATTTGTTGAGTGAATACATAATTTAGGCAGCCACTTAATAGAGTACTCAAGGGAAACGTCAGGAAAAGAAGGCACATTTGGGGATCAGGAAGCGACCAGGGATTGTCTTTAATGATTTGAAAAAAACAGCCATTTAGAAAAATAAACTTTGATCTTTGTGAAATGATTCATCTTCCCTTAGGCTAAAGAAGCAGACATGCTTTAATAGGGTTGTGATAGAAATTGCATTAAGCTTTGCCACAAACTTCTCGATACTTTGCCCTTGAGGATATCATGCATGCTAATTTTGCTCATGAAAGATGATAGTAATAAAAATAGTTATCAGGTCATAAAGGACTGCATGCTTAAATTCTTCAGAAGATGGGCTATATACTTATTTCTGACCTTTGGTTTTAGGAAATGAAGGATCTAGAGACTAAAATCGACAGTTGGATCCTCTGTGCATATAAATCATGGCCATCATAACATCCATAACTTAGGTGAGGTTGAGTTTTGGTTTATGATAATTGTCCCAGAAAAAGTGTTCATATCCAAGAAAAAATCTGATGGCAAGAGATAGGTAGTACTTTTTTCTTTTTACCCAAAGATATCCCTTAAATATTATAAAAACGGAAGTGTGAGGTTCTGATCACATCACACTGATTCTCCTCAATTAAGGAGATTTCCTGATCAACAGCAGAGCAGAGAATCTATGGTGAAGCTGAGACATTATTCTATCTTGGGGACAAGTAGTTTGAGTTTAGAGAAGGACCAGAAACCCATGTCAGGTTGGAGAATAGGAGTGAAAACAATTTTTCAGCTATAAAAATACTAAATATTTAGAAGATCAACAACCCACTAACACATCAGCTGTGCCTGAAACCTGCCCAAATACTATTGCCACTGTTCTTACTGAAGAGGTGGCAGGTCCTCTGACAACCAATATAAGATAGTGGGTATGGTGCTTGCCAATCAACCAAAGATGTGCCACAAATGCATGAGTGGGTAAGAGATTGCAGATAATTCTTAGGAAAAGCAATTCTGGAACACAGCTCTTTCTCACAGGAAAAAAGATATGCTGGATTTTTCCCCTCAAGGAGGAACCTGGAAGTCCATCCAGAGTGCCCTCTGAATGAGCAATCACCTGGCATGGGGTCCAGAGAGCTCTTCTGGGTAACAGGTGGTTATTTGACACAGAAGGAATAAGCAGAGAATGGGGGGGGGGGAAATTCAGAGCATCAAACAAGTGCAAGTGGACTATGGCTTCAATTCCAAATGGTCATAAATTGGCAAGACATTGGAAAAGGGTTTAGTGGGAACAGAAGGAGCAAAGGGACAGTGATTAAGGCCATTTCCAGAAACAGAAACAGACATGAAACTTATGGGGAATATGGTTGACAGGGTGGGTGTTAGATGTTCTTAACATTCTCTTTGGCCACCCTTAAACCCAACAATTCTAACTTAACAATTCCATGAATTGTTAATTAATTGTATGAAAAATAAATTAAAAAGAAAAATTCTTCTATTCTCTTTATAATAAAAGTAATCAAGCAATCCATCCAAATTTCAGAACAATGTTAATACTAGAGAAAGTCTGATACAGTGTTATGTGAGAATTAGCAAAACTTAGGAGACTGATTAAATTAAATGAGACTAAATTGAGATTTCTGCAAATAGCTAATTACATATAATTACAGGATTTGGTCAAGGCTCTCTAATGTACCAATGTAAATGAAGCTTTGAAAGCACTTCTCTTTGAAAATTAATTGGGTGGTTTAAAGAAAGAAAAATAAAATGTCTTTAAAACAAGAAAGACACAATATTTGGTAAATCTGATAAAGATGTAAGAAATATCTTATTGAAAGGTCATTTGAGGGCTGGCCGAGTGGCTCGTTGGTTAAGAGTTGGCTTGGGAGTGTGAGCTCTGGGCAGCAGGGCCGCCGGTTCGGATCCCACATGGGCCAGTGACGCTGTGCCCTCTACAGCTAAGATGGTAAACAATAGCTCAACCTGGAGCTGGGCTGCCGTGAGTCACCAGCGATGGCATAGGCTGCAGTGGGGCTGCAGTGGGCTGCCGTAAGCTACCGTGAGTGGCCTGCAGCCAGCGTGAGTGGCCATGAACTTCCGTGAGCGGCCGTCCAATGGCTGATGACCAATTTGCCTCAGCCGGGAAGAGTGCAATGATCACAATACCAACTTGGGCCAGTGAAGCGACGTCCTCCACAACTAGGCTGAAGAACTAAAGGACAGCAACTTGTCTGTTCCCCTTCCCCGATTCCCCAACGCTGTTCCCTCTCCCAATTCCCCAATAAAATCTTTTTTAAACAAACAAAAAAAAAGGTCATTTGAACTGTCAAAGTAATAAAGCGTGGCCAAGAGAAATAACCGGGATGCCAGAAAGCAGCCCAATTAGTAGGGAGGCCTTGATGTTCCACAGCAGACATTCTAAGCACGGGTCTATTTTTGCTCGTATCTACTCTTTCCTTACCTTCCAAGTTCAAATTGCCTCATACCTTAATTATTTCGAGAACCTATTGATTGGGTATGTCTTTCCCATTCACATTCATCCTACATATGCATTCCAGAATGTTCTTATAAATAGATTAATCTCATATCTTCCTCATTAAAAACTTTCTGTAGCTCTCCACTACTTGGCGAAATAAAACCCAAACGTTGGCTTTTATGACTTGTCCTTCAGAATCAAGTTACATTTTCTTTCTCTCCCATGTCAACCCCCAAAGCACAATTAAACAAACATGAACAGCTCCCATACAGATTCTGCACTTTTCCTGCTCCTGGTTCTTTTCTGTCTGAAACTGATTCTTGGTTCTCTTTAAATATACATTTTCATAAAAGCTTAATTTGAATTCCTCTAATTTCCTGAATCCCTTCCTATTTTATCACTTTTTCCCAGCCCATTCTCTCTCCTCAGACCTATCATTACCTTGCACTATAGCTATTAAACAAGGCCTTTGAAGACAGAAACGTATTTTACATTTTACAGTATACCCATACCCTTTCCCCTGCAGTGCCCAGCATCATTTCTTGCAGAAAGTACGCATTCAAAAAAAAAATATTTGTCATAGCTAAAGATGCAAATGTTGGTCTCTCTAAATACTAACGTAGTTAACAAAATATCTTGGATATTTTTTCTGTAGAGATGAGATGACAGAGTAATGTAATGATCATTTATAACAGGGTTCTTTGAAAAGTCTCCATCTTTGAATATTTAAATCTACTTTCACAAATCATGAACAATGCTTGGTTTGTAGAGCTATTAGTAATTTAAGGGGCCTATTTTTCGAAAGCCAGTCAAGGAGAGGTTTTTTATTATTATTCCAAAATCTAGTTAAATGTTTAATTAAATATAATAAAAAAATTTTAAATAGTTGTAAAGGCTTAGTTAGAAAGATAAAAACTTTGGTAGAACTTGAAATGGTACAGAAAGGGGTAGGTTTTAGCAATGCAGTGATTAAAAACTTTTAAAAAGAAGAGCAACTTCAAAAACAAAAAAACAAAAACACAGATAGAAAAAAATATTCTCAAAGTATTTACCAGGAAGGGTTATAAAAAACTTTGAATACCATTCCAGACTACATGCTTCTAAAAAAGAAAACAACAAATATTCAAAGTTCTTGATATTCAGGTAGTGCAGAAGTATAGATACACCCTAAATTACAGCTTAGGAGCAAAGTTTTCCTAATACTTATTTTATCATGATTTACATTCCGAGGTGTGCTACAAAGGAAGTGCGGCCCACAGAAATCTTCTGCATCTTTAGCAGAGGCACAGAGGACAGAAAAAGATAAAAGAGGACATTTTCTCTCCATTGCTCTTTTCCCACACCTTTTCTTTATAATTAGGAAAAACCCTCCATGGAAGTACCCAGACCCCTGGAAGAGGATCTGGTGAATCAGCAAAATGCAGACAAATCAAGACAATGTGGATCCGAGAGAGGACTGTGGTTTGGTGGTGCATCTTCATTGGTCACCTTTCTGCAACAGGGAAACAAGGTAGTATGTCCTCTTGTGACACCCCCAATCACAGCAGCTCCTCCAGTTCTCTGAGGACTCTGCCCCAGTCCTACAGCTGACACTGCTGCCAACACACAGAGTGAAGGGTCCACCTGGAAGAGGGCAATCCTTAGATCTAATCCATGACTCATCTGGAACAGAATTATCCACATGAAGCCATCCAATACGATTCGAGTGGCACATTAAACACCACACTAGAACATCAAGTCTGGGTGCTACTCCTGAAGCAGGCTTCGTGAAATCAGCATTCTCATCACTTCGTTGCTACCTGCAAAAGGGAGCAAGAATGAAGAACTTAGTGGGCAATCAGAGAAAGTAAAGTTTGACCAAGGTGCTCCAGGCCTAGCTCATGGATGCAAACTACAACTGGTGCTTTTACACTTGCAAGGGATGAGATTATCACAGACTTCTCTCCAAAGTACAGAAAAATATCAGAAAGTGAGGAATAAATTTACTTTTAAAAAACAACAACAAAAAACCTCTCCTGATGGTAAAAATGCTTATTTTAGGTAAAAGAAACAAACAAAAACCCAAAACCAACATAAAATGGTATATATAGTATAATTCTATTTTTAAAAAACATACCTACAAAAGCATTAAGACCAAAAGGAGATATTTTTGGACTTAAACATAAAAGGAGTCCAGCCTTTCTGTCAGTGGATGTCACCAAGTAAGCATCACTAAATCTCCCCTCCCACAGTCATCGTGTCTAAGTCAGAGTCTCCCAAAGAGCCTGAACAGCTGCAGAAGCTCTTCATCTGAGGTTTGAGCTTTGAAACAATCTATGAGAGTCTGAGGAGCCATTTTGAGCAATGGGGAATGCTCCCAGACTGTGTGGTGATGAGAGACCCAAACACCAAGCGCCCCAGAGACTTTGGGTTTGTCACCTATGCCACTGTGGAGGAGGTAGGTGCAGCCCTGAATGCAAGGCCACATGAGGTGAATGAAAGAGTTGTGGAACCAAAGAAGGCTGTCTCAAGAGAAGATTCTCAAAGACCTGGTGCCCACTTAACTGTGAAAAAGATTTTTGTTGGTGGTATTAAAGAAGACACTGAAGAACATCACCTAAGAAATTATTTTGAACACTGTGAGAAAACTGAAGTGATGGAAATCATGACTGATCGAGGCAGTGGCAAGAAGAGAGGCTTTGCTTTTGTAACCTTTGATGACCATGACTCTATAGACAAGGTTGTCATTCAGAAATACCATGCTGTGAATGGCCACAACTGTGAAGTAAGGAAAGCCCTATTTAAGCAAGAGATGGCTGGTGCTTCATCCAGTCAGAGGTCGAAGTAGTTCTGGAAACTTCGGTGGTGGTTGAGAATGTGGTTTTGGTGGGGATGACACCTTTGGTCATGGAGGAAACTTCCAGTGGTCACGGTAGCTTTGGTGGCAGTCGTGGTGGTGGAAGATATGGTGGCAGTGGGGATGACTACAATGGATTTAGTAGTGATGGAAGCAGTTTTGGAGGCGGCAGAAGCTACAACGATTTTGGCAATTACAAAAATGAATCTTCAAATTTTGGACCCATGAAAGGAGGAAACTTTGGAGGCAGAAGCTCTGGCCCCTACGGTGGTGGAGGCCAACACTTTGCCAAACCATGAAAGCTATGGCGGTTCCAGCAGCAGCAGCAGCTATGGCAGTGGCAGAAGGTTTTAATCACTTCCAGGAAACAAAGCTTGGCGGGAGAGGAGAGCCAGAGAAGTGACAGGGGAGCCACAGGTTATAATAGATTTATGAACTCAGCGAAGCAAAGTGCTGGCAGGGCCTAGCTGCTACAAAGAAGACATGTTTTAGACAATAGTCATGTGCAGGGTTCAGCAAACTTTTGAGACAGAAGAGCCGCCAGGGGTTGGTAAACTGCGGCTTGCAAGCCACATGCGGTTCTTTAGGTACGTACATAAGGCTCTGAAGTAAAATTGAAAATGAAAATAAAACTATCATAGTTTCATTTATAAAATTTCTAAAGGATATTATTATTCGCATAATGATGATTTCATCTGTTTTATAGGTCTCGCAAAACTTTGAGGGGCAGGGTTGGCTCTTCTAGGGGTCAGCAAACTTTTGAGATGGAACGAACCCAAAGAACTGCATGTGGCTCACGAGCCACAGTTTGCCAACCCCTGCTCATGTGTATGGCAAAAAAGTCAAGGATTGTATTTGTGACTAATTGTATAATAGGTTATTTTAGTTTCTGATCTGTGGAAAGTGTAAAGCATTTCAAACAAAGGGTTTTAATGTAGTTTATTTTTTTGGTACCTATGCTGTTGATTGCTAAATGTAATAGTCTAATCATGACGCTGAATAAATGTGTCTTTAAAAAAAAAACAAAATGAGTCCAAAGTATTGGGTTGTCAGAAAAGTCACGACGTATTTTTGCTGTTTTTCATTGCAAAGATGCGTCATGACTTTTCCGACAACCCAATATTAATTCTTTTTTTTTTTTTAAGATTTTTTTATTGGGGAATTGGGGAGATGGGAACAGCGGTGGGGATTTGGGGGAAGGGGAACAGACAAGTTGCTGTTGTTTTGTTCTTCAGTCTAGTTGTGGAGGACGTTGCTTCACTGGCCCGAGTTGGCACCATCACCAATATTAATTCTTGATGTGGAAACATGAGTGATTTTTCCCCCCACTTTTTCTGTGTTTTATAATTTTCAACAATAATCCAATTTCTTTAGTAGCCAGAAAATTCAATTTTAAAAGAACAAACAAAAACATTTTCCCTAGGGCTGGCCGAGTAGCTCAGTTGGTTAAGAGGTCGCTCAAGAGTGCGAGCTCTGAGCAACAGCGGTTCCAGTCCGGGCCCAAGCTGAGCTGCCACTGTGCTTCCAACAGGTGGCAGGATGGCTCAGCTCAAAAAAAAAAAAAAAATTTTCCCTGAAAGGAGGGGTCAATTGCTTGCTTCATTCTGACAATAGCCTTTAATGCAAACAGAAATACGAACTCCCATGAGGAATGAGTTATCACACATCTCAAATAAAATCAAATCTAAAATGTCAGATTTATTCAATAACAAAGTCCATGATAAAACAAAGTGATAAAAACGAGTGCCCACATTTTTCCACAAATGGATGATAGTGTAGCCTGACATATGAGGTGTGATCAAACAATACAGTGAATGTTTAAATAAAAAAAAATTTATTACAGTAAAAGAACACATTGCCATTAATCCCACTCAAAATACTCCCCCTCGCTTCAAATGCACTTATCGCATTGTTCTTGCCACTTTCTGAAGCAGTTCTGGAAGTCCTCTTTTGTGAGTGTCTTTAGTTGCACTGTTGTAGCTACCTCAATGTCCTGAATCACTCTGACTTTGGGGAAGAGCCAGAAGTCACATGGTGCCAGATCCGGTAAACAAGGTGGATGAGGACACACTAAAATGATTTTTGTTTGTTTGTTTGTTTTTAAATATTTTTATTGGGAAATTGAGGAGGGAAACAGTGTTGAAGAATTGGGGAAGGGGGGCATTGTGTTTTTCCAGGACCCATCAGCTCCAAGTCAAGTTGTTGTCCTTTAATCTTACTTGTGGAGGGCACAAGCTCAGCTCCAAGTCCAGTCGCCGCTTTCAATCTTAGTTGCGGGTGGGCACCATCCCATGCGGGAGTCGAACAGGCAAACTTGCTGCTAAGAGCATGCGCTCTCACCATCTCAGTGGCAGCTCAGCTCGGGCGCAGCTCACTGGCCCAGGTAGGAATCGAACCGGCAACCCTGTTTGTTGCTCAGAGCTTGCGCTCTTAAACAACTAAGCCACTCGGCCGGCCCCCATACTATAAGGTTTTTGACACTACTCGCCGTACCAGAAGCAATGTGTGACACATAGCATTGTCATGATGGAGGGTGATTTACGGCACACTTTAAAACACACCTTCTCTCAACCATAGTCACACCTGACTGACTGCACCGAACAAGTTGAAACTTGTCACACACTGTTACTGAGGTTTGATGCACCACTTCTGGTACTGAAGATCCCTGCCTTTCCATTGGATGGCACTCGGCAGCAGCATTCACCATATTTTGTGATCACAATGAAAAGGCTTCATGTCACACATCGCTTCTGGTACAGTAACTTCTGTCAAATAAAAACATTACGGTGTGTCCTCATCCACCTTATTCACTGGATCTGGCACTGCGCGACTTCTGGCTCTTCCCCAAAGTCAAAATGATTCAGGACATGGAGGCAGCCATGACAGCGCAACTAAAGATATTTACAAAAGAGGACTTCCAGAACTGCATCAGAAAGTAGCAAGAATGATGGGATAAGTGTGTTTGAAGAGAGGGGGAGTATATTTTGAGGAGGGCTGATGGCAATGTGTCTTTTACTGTAATAAGCTTTTAAAAATTTACACATTCACCGTAGTTTCTTATCACACCTCGTAAATGTATCTGGCTTTTCTCATTTATTGTAACAGGATTAAAAGACAGAGGTACAATGAAGGTGAAGTTTCCTGCACTCATAATACTGGGTGAAAGCAATTGCAGGAGTAGTAGAAGGCGTAAGGGAATTAATTTGAGCACTAGCAACTGAATTCATAAGCATAGATTAGGGATGAGGTTTGCAACAGAAAGCAGAGACTAACCTTTCGAAGCCTGTGATTTGGACATAACACCAGAGCAGTGGGTCTCAGAGTGTGGTTCTCAAATAGCAGCAGCCTCACGTGAAAACTTGTTAGAGATGAAAATTCTCAGGCCAGCCCACTGAGTCAGAAACTCTGGGGGCGGGGCCCAGCAATGTTTTCACAAGCACTCGAGGTGGTTCTGATGTGTGCTCAGGATGGAGAAGGATGCTTTGAACGCGGCAGGGAAGCCAATGCTCATAGGCTTCTGCAACTATGCCCCATTAAAGCATCCCCACATTATTTTACTGAAAGTCACTTAGACAAGCCTTTGCTTCATCTGCTTTTCTTACAGTGTAACAACCCCCGTTACCTAAGCTAGCTGGAACCTCAGTCATGTCATTTCAGGACTGACACAGTGGTGTAGAAAGTGGAGAATCCATGCTCTGAGCCTGACTCCAACAGCTTATATTTTTCCCAGCCCGAATGTCTGTGATTACCAAGAAGATACCCACACACAGATTTACTTTACTGAGAAATCCATTAGCAATCCAATATTGACAGAGATTATCTTTAGGACCATCTGGCTGATAATCAATTTGCAGAGGCAGCTGGTGATAAAACTGGCTCACGTTTGCCCTGTAAATTACTGTACAGAAGTTTTGGGATTCCTGAGGACCAAGTACTTTGAAACAGTAAAGAATAATCACTGTTATCATTTTCAAAATGTTTTCTCACATATTATCTCCGTTTGAGCCTTCTCAAACATTTACAAAGAAAAAGAGCAGAAATGGAGTGAATCGATGATTTCTTACCCCCGTGACAAAGCAGAGCCTCCTGACTCCCAGACTAGTGCTCTTTGTATTGCACGAACAGGCCCTTCCAAAGCAGGGTCAGGACGGAAAAGGATGGAGGAGGATGCTAAAGATAGACAGGGCCTGGTGGAACCCTGAAAACCCGTCAGCATGGGGACAGATAGGCTGGGGCAAGTAGGGATCCTAATTGTAAGAGAATGATGTTTACCTTCTAGGATTTGATGGGCCCTGCAGTCCCGCATATACTGCTGAACAGCGTAGTCCTTCAGGTAGCCATAGCCTCCATGCATCTGTAGGGCCTGGTTGCAGATCTGCAGGAAGACAGGGATTAGGCACCTCTGATTTCAGGAAGACGGGAATAAGTGGCTTCACTCTTCTCACCCCAGCTCCCAATCTGGCAGCCTGCTATAAACTACTACAAGAAAGAACAACTTACGGATGACCAGCTAAGCCAAAGAAGGGCCTCATGTTCTCTGTGGTCAGAGACAATGAGGGAAGTTCACCTACTTAACTTGTCAGTTACCACCAGACAGGCGAAACACACTGCTGCCTTTCTGCCTCATTATCTGCAGGGAAAAGCTACTGGCAACCACCATGGCTGGGATTCTATGAAGCTAAGGTGTCATCTAGTGGCAACACAGCCTCAATGTGGAAATACAGAGGGTGCCCAAAAAATGTATACACATTTTAAGAAAAAAAAAAACTGTATTAAAATTGTAATACTCGATATATACTGATAACGAAAGATGAATACAAGTCATGTGTATACAGTTTTTGGCACCCCTGGTAGTTTTGCCCTGACATTCAGTGTAAGAGGCATTGGGCTGCTCTGAACTTCCTTCCAAAGGTAGGTCCCATCTAGAATACAACCAAAGGACGGACAGAATGAAGTGTGTCGTGGCATGGAACAGATAAAAGGCCAGCTACGAGAGCTCCCATGCAGGTTCTCAGAAGTTAACTTATATCCTTATGCCCCAAAGCCATCCCTGCAGCACCTTGGCAGTTGACTTAAGTCTCCCAACGCCCCTGGCCCTAGCAGCTGCTCCCCGTTTACCCATGAGAAACAGAGGGCATCATCACTTACAGCAAAACATTCGTCGGTGGCGAAGAGCTTGGCCATGGAGCACATGGTCACTGCATCTTCCCGTTCCTCCTGCAGAGCCACGGCCGCACTGCGGATCAGCAGCCGTGAGGCCACCAGCCTTGTTGCCATATCTGCCAGTTTGAATTGCAGGTACTGCAGCAACAGGGGAGAAGAGAGCCAGGCAAAACAGGAAGGCTTAGAGCAGCACGTGATCTGGGGTGCCTGTAAGGTTCCTTTTCTCAGTGACCCTAGACTTCAAAGCTTCCTGCCTCTTCTATAGGGAAAATGTACCGCCTTATAAGTTCTAAGTCCACTTCACTTGCCGTGCACTTCGCTAGTACCTCTGGAAAAAAGTTATTGATAGAAACAGAGCACAAGTTCTCGCTAAGATGGAGGCAGAACTCCACACTCTCCTGGAGAACGTGGGCCACAGAACAGGTCTCCTGCAAAGAGTGGGAAACATATGCAGAGACACCTGGACAGTTACCTGCTTATTGGCCAGAGGCTCTCCAAACTGCTTCCGGACATTGAGGTAGTCTCGGGTGAGGATGACTGAAGCATGAGCAGCCCCCAGAGAGCAGGAAGCTAGAAAAGAATAGTGTTGACACTTCAACTGAGTCAGAAGAACCGTGCTGCCTGCCCCAGCACGCTGCCCTCCCTGCCCTATCACTTCGTGTTCTCACCAACATTGATCCTCCCTCCGTTCAGTCCTTTCATGGCGATGAGGAAGCCCTGTCCCTCATTCCCAATTCTGTTGGTCGCAGGGACAGCACAGTCTTCAAAGATCACGGCTCGGGCTGGCTGTGAGTTCCACCCCACCTGGCAAAAATCAGGGACTGTATGGCTGCCCAACCATTCACCACTCAGGGCAGTGTTCTCTTTTGACGAAAGCCTGAGAAATATAGGTTCCATTACCCTGAGATTTAGACCCTTGAGAACTTAAAATGAGGGGAAAAAAAGTTCAGAGTTAAACATCTGTCAACTCTGACAGATTATTTTTTTCAGCTAATCATTTTTTAACAGAATAAGAACATCTGCTTTCTAATGTCTACTCTACCAGATTAACCTATTCATAGACATTTCTCACACTTTCTTTCAGGACTGAGGCAGGACTGTCCTCATTTTTGGTGCCTCTATGAGTACATTGTTTTATTAAAAAACATAGAAAATGTAAGAATTATGTGGATTATTTGTCATTACATAAGGACAGTATAAAGATTATTATGAACAATAGCCACCTTCCTCCTTTTAAAAGCTTAGTGTTCTTCTAGGACGTTATGAATAACATTCACCATGTTGCAATACCTTGACAAGCATTAATTTGCAGAGAGATCCAGTGATGCACTGGCATCATCAGGTCACAAGAAGCAATTATGCATATCTTTCCCTTACTTGGCTTTCAGTGACATCGCATTGGCGACTTGAAATCAGCCACGATGGGAACATTTATACCACAGAAACTGGCAAACACTACTGGCAAACTATGAGGGGTTTCTGGTTTTTGTTTTTCTTACTAGAGACCTGATTTACCAGGATATCTTGTAATACATCAGTCATAAGCCCAGACAAAATTTTGAACACCTAAGATATAGCCCATGTCATCCAACTAACTAGCTGTATTCTTTTTTTGTTTGTTTAAGATTTTATTGGGGAATTGGGGAAGAGGAACAGTGCTGGGAGGTTGGGGGACGGGAACAGCCAAGTTGTTGTCCTTCAATCTTAGTTGTGGAGGGCGCAGCTAGCTCAGCTCCAAGTCCAGTTGCCATCCAGCTGCCCGACAGCAGCTCGCAGCCGCTCAGCTCAAGGTGCCATGTTCAATCTTAGTTGCGGGTGGGCGTAGCCCACCATCCCATGCAGGAGTTAAACCAGCAACCTTGTAGTTAGGAGCACGTGCTCTCATCAGCTGAGCCATCCTGCTACCTGTTGGCAGCTCAGCGGCAGATCTAACTAGCTGTATTCTTAATCTTTGGCCAAATCACTTGGCTTTTTTGAGGTCTCGGTTTTCCTTTACATAAGGGAGTTGTACTAGAAAGCCAGCAGAGCCACTTTCTTCACATAAAATCTTAGTCAAATGTTTCATATGTCAATAAAGGCTCTTACTACTTGACTCACTCCTTACATCTCCTTTTCCAGGTACTTTTCCAAGGCTTCAAAGAACTCTGAAGGTTGGTGACGTAGATTATAAAAATGCAAGACTATCTAAAACCTCCCCGTTCCCTTGGAGCTCTGAAAACACTACTGCCTTCACATCACCATCACTTCCTTATATAAAAACACTCAATAGCTCCCTTTTGTTGGGAAGATAAACTTGATTCCTTGGCTTTTTATTTAAGGTCTTCTAAAATGTGGCCCAATCTTTCTTTACCAGCCTTCTCTTCTATAGGTCACCTATAAGTATTCTCCACCCCAGTCAAGCTGGTCCACACACCATGCTACTGGATTGTTACACCCAGACTTTTGCTTATTCTGTTCCCTCCACCAGGAATACCTCCCACCCCCCAACTCCATCAGTCTAGCTTAAATGAAGCCTCCTGAAGTCTTCCCAGTCACTTGAGCCAGCAGTGACATTGTTCCCTTTCAAGCTCTCATAGTCTCACCACAAGTCTGAAACCTTCCAATACTGGCCTGTATGGTTTTTACCTGTGAATCTATCTTCCCAACCAGAACATAAACACCCAAAAGCAAGAATGGAACAAAGTTCTGATCTTAATAGTATCTAATTACAAAAGAACCAAATACAAATATTAACAGCTGCCACCTCGTACCTTCTGCCCTCTAACGCTGTGCCATGAAAACACCTTCTTTCCCTATGCAGAGAGAACTCCTTCCCTAATCCAAGCAGAGCCCCTGAGAAGCTGAAGCCAGTGAGAACAGGTGGCTACTCTCCCTTTGGAAGCCCCTACACCCCTGAACCGCTACCACTAGAGCCCATTCCTTCTGTCAGTCTTGTCTTCTGTCCCACATATTATCTTCATATTCTCTTCTACGAGGCCTCACTTCCACCCTTCCCAGGAGAAAAACTCTTTTTTCTATGCAAAACCTTTCATTAAATCTTCACGTAATTTTACAGGATCCAGTTATACTGACTGAGGTTTTAATGTGATGATTTTTTTCAACAATAATGTGGAAGACAAAGCAAATCCTCATTGCTTTCCAATAAAGTCAATGCACAGCGGGTGCTACAAAGCTCTCAGCTGTATAATATGTTGTGCCAAGTCAAAACACATGCTTGCAGGAGAGGACCATGGAGCAGAGACAGAGAAAGGCCAGCTGCTCAGGTTATCAGAACAGCCAAATCAACCATGGAGATCAGTGGGTGGCTCCTCACCCTGATCTGTAAGGCTCTACCTACCTCTCCAACTTCATCCCACACTATTCTCTTCTTCGCTCACTACCCTTGGGTCCTACTGAACTATTTTGGGTTCCTCAAATAGGCTAATCTTATTCCCATCTCAGGCCCTTAGTATCTACTGCTGTCTCTGCCCAGAATTTTTCTCACAGTTGGCTCCTTCTAATACTTCAGATCTCATCTCAAATGTCATGCCTTCACTGAGTGATCTCTATCTAAAGAAGCTCTCCTCAATCAGTGTCCTATCATCCTGTTTTATTTCCTTCCTAGCACTCAGTACTAATGGGAGGTACCTTTTTTTCTTCATATGTCTACTGTCTGTCCCTGCTTACTAAAATGTAAATTCCATGGGGGCAGAGCATGTCTGTCTTGTCCACTGCTCTATTCTTTTTACTTAGAAGAGTGCTAGGCACACAAGGAGTACTCACCAGCTGTAGAATGAGTGAAGAGACGTCCTTCCAAATTTCCCTTACGTTAAAAAATATATAATGCAAAACTAATAATTAAAAAAGGAAGTATACCAAAAACAAGAAATGAAAGAAAATATAGTATATGCTTAAAAGTGACAGGAAAGAAACAGAAAATGAAGGGAGGAAAAGGGACACTTCTGTTAATGGAATTTATTTGCAATTTTTCTCCAGGCACCAAACTTGTTAGCTTTGGTATTCTGTTAACAGATACCACAAATATTGAGGTGGATACTACCGATGTATGTTGAAACAATCATCACATTAAAACCTGAATCAGTATAACTGGATCCTGTAAAATTATGTCTCAAAGTGCATAAGTCAGACTGTGTCTTATAATCCAAAACAGACACTCCTAGGATCAAGAAATCCTATAACTATACATCTTATCTATCATACCTAGGATATACGTCTTACATGAATAAAATGGCATAAATCCTATAGTACTAAAAAACGCTGACAGTGACTTTTGTATCCCTCCCAGAGTTAGCATAGGCTTTGCACACAAAAGAGGTATTAAAACTCATCATAACTCCTTGGCAGTTGCAAAGGATCAAGAAGGGTCATGTAGAGAAATCTGCAAACCCTAGGAGCTGTGAGACATGTATATTTAGGGGTTATTTCATTACCTGACTTCTCCCCCAAAGTCCTAACTGTAAAAGTGCATATTGGAGGTAGATGACTGCTTTGTTCATCTAGCCCAGGAGTCAGCAAACTGCGGCTCATGAGCCACATGCGGCTCTTTGGGCACATACACGTGGCTCTGAAGTAAAATTGAATATAAAAATAAAACTATCATAGTTTAATTTATAAAATTTTTAAAGGATATTATTCACATAATGGTGATTTCATTTGTTTTTTACGTCTCGCAAAACTATGAGGGAAAGAATTGGCTCTTCCGTCTCAAAAGTTTGCTGACCCCTGATCTAAGCTAACAAATCTGAACAGGTCTCATCCTCATCACCAGCTACAGTTACATAATCACAGTTCTGCTGTTCATGGCCTGGCTATTAGATGTCTTAATCCTAAAAATGTCCTCTCAAAGCACCCATGAAAACACTCTCCCTCTTACATTACTGAAATATCCACAATTACCAACAAGTTTTACTTTATTTTTATTTAAAGAAAAAAAGTGGCCCACATGCCTATCATTTCTGAGATTTCTAGTTAACATCAGATCTTCTGTAAGTATTTCTTCCTGGGATAACTAAAATAAGAAGCTGGATAAGACATACAGGACAAAGGTGGAGGCAGGGGAGATGACAAAGAAATTGATCAAACCGAAACAGCAGGCAGCTTGTAGAACTGATTGGCAAACTCTGCCACTTTTGCCAGTGGTCTAGGGTTTCATTAACATTCTATATTCTATTATATAACATTCTATATAAAATATTCTATTTTATATGTTCTTGTCAAAATTCTAATAGAAGCAATTGCCACCAAACAAGTTAGATAGTATGCGAATCTATTTCCTGAAACAGAGCAGAGCTTGGTTGGGCAGGTGGGAGAGTCTCATAACTTGAATTACTTCCCATCAACAGCCACTTACCTTTTTTTCCTTCTTGCCAAAGCTAAGGCCAGGGGTCCCCTTCTCAACAACTATGCATGAGATGCCTTTGGGGCCCGGCCCTCCTGTTCGGCACATGACTACATAGATGTCTGATTCACCTCCACCGCTGATGAAGGCCTGTGGGGGTGGAGAGGGAGTGCACAGGGATCAGGGACTGCACGAGTTCTCCGAGCCTAGCATCTGGGAAAACAGTTGAGGTCCTCCCGACAATAGGACACTAACAAATATAATGGCACAGAGAAACTAAGGAGGGGTAAAAAGAGCCTGCACTGACTGGGAAATCAGGGATCTAGCTGATGAGACTATAAAAGGGATAGACAAAAATAAACAAAATTATCCGGAATCAGAACAAAAGAGATAGAAACAGTGAAGGTAAATAAAGGGAAATGGGTTAGAGGTTCTCTGCCCAACATGTAAAAATCCTATGGGAATATTAACTCGCAGATAGCAAGGATCCAGGCGATGTCAGCAGGAAGATGGCAACAGTCTCCAAGTTGTTCTGGGAGGAGAGCACACTGGTACCTTGGAGCCATTGAGGATGTAATGATCTCCTTGTCGTTTAGCTGAGGTCAAAAGGGAGGCAGCATCGCTCCCACTTCCTAAGGCAGGGATCGGAGAGGGCGGTGGAGAAAGTCAGTGAAGTTTAAGGGAGCCCCAGCACAGTCCCGTCTCCTAGGAAACCTTCCCTTATAACATACAGCTCAGAGTTTGATACTTTAAAATCCAGACAGCCAAAGTAACTCTGTACTTGGTAAAAATTGCAAATATAGCAACCAGACCGTCTTCCATCTCTCATCACACTAGCTTCCAGTGGGCTTCCTACAAAGTGCCTGGAGAGGCTGTGCCCTAGAGGCCTCTTACTCTGGTGACATCAGATCGTAAGAATCTGTTACTCTACAACCAAACTTCTTGGCAAACAATGGTTATACATATCACTGGGCTAAGGAGTGCTCAGTGACTTCACATGAGTACCATCTCACCTGCAGCGTGGCAAACCCACCTGGCTCAGTGAGGCAGTAGGAAGCAAACTTCTGCATGGTACAGAGCGGCGGGCAAAATTTGTGCCTCTGTTCCTCATTTCCAAAGGTGTCGATCATCCAGACACACATGCTGACAGGTACAGCAAGAACAAAAGACATTCACAGAGATTAAGATGGAAAAGAAAAGGAAATTTGAGGGGGGAGGGGATGGGTAAAGAGAACAAAGGCAGAAAAGCAGATAGAAGCAGAAGAGAGAGTGGGAAGGGAAAAGTCACCACTGAAAAGATTCAACTTGAAAGAAAAGGCCTGGATTAAAACATATTCCTGGAATATGTACCACCCAGAGAAAACCAGGGCCAGGGTATTTCTCACGTGGATGCTCATGCTACTTCTAGTTAGGTTAACTAAGCTCCCTACAAGTCAAAGCGTTTTATGAACTTTCCCAAATTCCTGGAGGTTTCACCTTTGGGTTGAGGAAAAGGGCCCTGACCTCTCTGCTGGGGAAGTCGGGTACCACTCCATCTAGAATTTGGAAGAAGGCAGGCAGACCTGATTCTCTGAGCAACATACAGGATGACAGACTCACGTTCAACAGGCAGCAGCAGACCTAGATTGAACTTTTAATAGTGTAGTTCTTCAAAGGTAATCAACCTGAAAGATAAGCCTTTCCCTATTTATCTGAAACTTCCCAGGCAACCCATGTGAGCACTTCACTGTGCTTTCCAAGCGTGGGTACTCACTTGTGGATGCTTATATAGGCTGTGGTGCTGGTGCAGCCTGTAGCCAGGGCTTCAAAGATGACAGAGGTATCGAGCCGTGACAATCCAGACCCACCTACATCTGTTCGTACGTAGATTCCACCAAAGCCTAGCTGGGCCGCCTTCCGCATCGTGTCCACTGGAAACAGTTCCTATGTACGAATGACAACAGGGTCACCAGTAAGTCTTAGATGGACTTTTCTATTGAGGGCACAATGAGGGATTAAGATGTTTGCATTTGGGAGTGTAGGGATTCTCTTAACTTAATATGCCTATCTGTCATCTGTATAGTGATATCACTTAAAATACATTCTATAAGGATGGGTTTTCTGGCATTAAAATTTCTTTTTATTATCAATCCAACTGCTTTGGTTTTAGGAGTGGTCCAATCTTTGTACAATAAAAAAAAAATACAGGTATCTTTAAGACAATGAGGGTGCCTTTCAGGAAAGGAATCATACCATTACCAGTATTCTCATTTGTAAGTGTAGAATAAACACTGAACAATTAGGATTATAAGGAGATGAAGATGAGGAGGCATTTGTAGAAACATCTAGTCACAAGCAAAGCTCCTACCTTCTGGTCCCACTCTGCCATATTTGGAGCCATCTCCTGGGCAGCGAAGTTAAAGGCCACTTTCTGAAATTCTTTCTGTTCTTCATTTAGTCCCATGGAAGCTATGGGCAAGATGGCATATATTCAGTTCTAGAACAGGGGTCCAGGAAGAGTACCACAAACAAGAAGCACCATGAAGCTGGGACAGTGGACTTACTATAGCATTTCCCATACACAGTACTATCTTTTACATCCAGAGAATGACATCGCCCACCATTAATCAGTTTCTTTGATACATCATCACCTTTTTCTTTCTTCCTTTACTCCCAAGGAGATTGACTGACTTTATTTACCTCCTAGTTCTTCTTTCAATACTCTATCTCTCCTCATAAACCCACATTTAAAACAAATAATAAACACACACTGACCCTCAAATTATGGTAAACATTCTTTTTTCCC